AATGTGTTTCTAGTCATTCCATATTTAAAAATGGATACTGTGTTGTATGTATGTGTGTGTGTGTGTGTATATATATATATATATATATATATGTATGTATGTATGTATGTATGTATTTGAGACAGGGCTTCACCCTGTCACCAGGCTGGATAAATACTGTGTTTTTTGTATGTATGTATGTATGTATGCATGTATGTATCTATGTATATATTTGTTTGAGACAGGGTTTTACTCTGTCACCTAGGCTGGAGTGCAGTGGCACAATCATAGCTCCTTTTAACTTTGAACTCTTGGGCTCAAGTGATTCTCCTACTTTCAGCTTCCTGAGTAGCTAGGATTATAGGCACATGTTACCACACCCAGCTAATGTTTTATTTTACTGTTTCTTTTCTCTGTGTTGCCCAGGCTGGTCTAGAACTCCTGGTCTCAAGTGATCCTCCTGTCTTGGCCTCCCTCAGTGCTAGGATTACAGGTGTGATCCACTACATCCAGCTTGACACTGTTTTGATTTACCAGTTGCTTTCTGATCAGTGATCAGTGGGTTCCTTCTTTGGGCTTAGGTTCTATATTCTTAGTCCTTCTGAGTCTTAGCCTGAGGTCCTATGCTAGAGAAAGTTTAAGCCCAGAATGTTGTCTTACAGTTAAATTGTAGGCTGAAAAATTAAGATATGATTTAACTGCATACCCTGCCATGTAGCTCACCTTCTGTGCTTTGGCTTTTATATTCATTTATTCTGCAGCAGTGTGTTTAGCGTGCATCTTCATCTTTACAGTGTTGGGTAATTTGTTTATTTCTTTATCTGCTCTTTCTCACAGGGACTCCTGGTGAGCTTATTGTCATATCTATTTCACTTAAGGGTCTTCCTGAACTCTGTGTTATCTGAGTGATTTTTCCTCTTGCTGCTTAGCATTGTATAACCATAGGCTGGAATGCCTTTGGGGCTTCCTTTTGGCTTGAAATCTGGCAGTGCTTGTACCTAGCCATGTCTCTGAGGAGTCCTGTGATGGGACTTTATTTCTCTTTATCTCCTCTTCCTCTCTCTATTTTTAAAACTTAGGTTGTATATCATTCTTTTCCAAGGTCTTTGTCCCTTCAACACTGCCAGACTGAAGCCACCAAAACACATACACTTCAGAACTGATCTGGGCTTGGGGCCAGATTGACTGAGGAGACTGGAGCTGACATGGAAGTTAGTTTTTTTATTTAGGCTGTGACTTTCATAGTGTCAATCAGGGAGATGCCTACCTGCATGCTTAATATTTAAAAGTAAAATTGAAATTGCAGGTGGACTCTGACTCTGCAGGAAGCATCCCTGACTATGAGCACTTTTCTTCATAATATGATTCTTTCCCCAAGTTACCATTTCTGTGCCTTTTCCTTTTTTCCTTTGTCTCCTTCCTACCACCCATTTCCCATGGCCATTCCTCTTCAAATATTTTCAGTGGTAGCTCCCATTTACAACTTGCAGCTTTTTCTGTCTTCTTTTCAGCAGTCTGGTCCCTAACAGCCTTTTTTTTGTGTGTGTGGTCTCAGTAAACAAAGAACGTGTGTGTGCCTGTGTGTGTGTGTGGTGTGTGTGTAGGAAGCCTGCCATATTTCCTCCCTTCCCCACAGAAAATGTGTTTTCTGGAAGCCCTTTTGACACTGAAGTGAATGCCCACTGGCCCTCCCTTGCTGAATTCTCCTGAGGGGAGAGAGAGAGAGGCCTTTATACTTGTTGTCATATCTTTTGTTTCTGCTGATTATACACAAAGTTAAGTTGTAAATAGCTCTCTCAGACACCATGATTCCTTTGAGGTATGTATGTACAGGAGAGTGGATATGTACTCAGCTTCCACTTGCCCTGGGGATTTCAGAGGGTCCCTTTCAAGGCCTCTGACTTCCTGTTACAGCACCAGGATAATGGAATTTACATCAGTTGTAGACAGTTATTCCATAATTAAACCTGTGGCATAGTGTTTAGAAAATTAGCTGAACAATTCACTGTTTTTCTTTGTTTTTAAGTTAAATGATTTTATTACTTTAAAAGCAACATATACAATCATACACCGAGAATAAAAGTTAAGTACCTGCAATTAAAATTTTGGAAAGTCATAGTAAAACTTCGTACTGTATAGTATATCATTAAAATAGGCACTGGGTGCTAGCACAGAGGAAAAATGGAATTCCCCAAATCAGTTTAAAATTTATATTAAATAATGCTTAGGTAGACCCATATTTTATTATCCTAATTTACAATAGAGTAATAATAATGAGTTAAACAACTGATATCTGCTGTTTCTTTAGTCATTTTTTGATTGCTTATAGCTGGTTAATTCTGAGGCTTTTAAATCAAAAAGTGGAATGAAATGTGCTAAATTACAACTAATTTGGTTATGAACTTTTATCTCTATGAATTTTCCTTGGTATATTTTGATGAATTCAGAAAGAGATACGGTTTCCCTTTCCCTGTTGAAAATTTTCCCTGATGACACTGATTGTGGTGCATGGGGTGGGAGTGTGATGTGTTTTTAGACCATGAATCCTTCAGCGAACTTCATGAACCAATTTTGATGTGAATTCCTGGTTCCTCATTTTTGAAAATATGGGAGTCCACTTTCACAGATTCTTATGGATGTATTTTTCTGCTCAGAGATCTTAGCACTCTAAGTTTGAAAACGTACCCACTTCCCTACTAGTTCCTTTTTGTGATTATGATTGTTGAAACATACTGGTAGATTGCCACCGTTACCTTCAAACTTACTCACAGACCTTTATGTTTTCTCTTAGAAACTGTGTATTTCTAAGTGTCTCAAGTTGTAGTTGCATGTAATTGTAGTTGTTTAACTTTCTCCTTTCCTCTTGAGAGTGTTTATAAAGTGCATTCTGTGACTGTGAAGATAAAAAGGAACTAGAAACTTAGTTTTTGTGATGTGGTCAAATAATATTAAGGTAAGTAAGAATTTGTTTTGTGTATGTGAGATTGGGTGAGGTTTACACTTAATTTGCAATATATGGCTTATTGAATCTGCCTTAATTAGTTAAGTCACATTCACTGAGGTTTTATAAGAAGGTTTGAGGGAGGATTCATTTTGATGTGGAATATTCTAAGATTAATTTTTTCTTTACCCTTCTATTGCACCCTGGGGAGAATTACTGTTGCAGAACTCATGAGTAGCCCTCCTTACGTCAACTTAGGGGTACAGTCAGCATTATTTCTGTGTGTGGCACAACACAAATGCACAGTGTCTCTACTCTTCTCCCTGCCCGTTTCTTTCTCATTCCTCAGTTTAGAGGATAAATTCCCTTTTTTTGGTGCTTATGTTGTCCTAGACCAAGGAACAAGTAGTAGGTCTTAATTTCTGTTAGCACTTGTTTCCTTTGTTGTCTTTTTTTTGTAATTTCTTTCATATGAAACATCAACAAATGCTTCTAGAATGGATGCCACTAAATGTAGTTATTACATTTTTGAAAAATTAACTACTTTGAAATGTATTCTCAACCTTTCTTTTCTTTCGTATTCCTTAAATTTGAATCCAGGCTTTGCAACTTAATAACATGATTCTGAGCTAGTTATTTATTATCTGCTCTAAGCCTCAGTTTTTTTGTTTGTAGAATGGAGATGCTCATAGTCCATAAGAATATTGAGAGGAAAATGTGGGGGTTAAACTACACGTAAGATGCCCACATAATGACTGGTGCATTGGCCTCCACATGTGAAACTCTTGGGTAAAGAGTGGTTATGAACTTCAAAGATAGATCATACTCTATCCATTTCACCTTATGAGCATAGGAAAGAAGAATAAAAGACTTGAAAAGAATGAGAGACCTGGACCTAAAAATGTTTGAAGCGTTGACCGAGTGCTTTTTTTTTCTTTCCAGTAATATTCACTAGTGAACTTGCAAAGTGTAGTATACTGAACATTATTTAAGTTTGGACAAGTATACTGATTCTTGGGTGAAAAGAGAGGGAAACACCTTCTAAGTTAGCATACATGGCTGAAAACTGATGTCTGAACAAAGCAAATTGATTAGCATAGACGATCTTAACTGGCATTTTAAAAAAGTCAAAGAAAACAAAACAGAGGAGTGCTTTGATAGGGAAAGAAGACAAAGGTGAGATGATGCTTATTGAGTTTAGGGACATATAGACAGATATATGATTAGTGAGGGTAGTATAAGTGTGAAAATAATGAGGAACAATTAGAAACTTTTAAAAAGCAGAAAACATGTTTAGGTGGAATCTAAAACCTTGTTTAATCTTTAAAAATTTGAAATGAAATAAGCAAGGAACAGTAGGCAGTATTTAAGGATGATATGGACAAATGATAATAGCTTAATTTTGAAAAGGAATCTTAGTGACTTTCAGTATAGAAATTTAGATATAGATGAATATTTATTCAATTATGACCTTGTTAGAACAGATATATAAAGCAAGGTTTTAAGCTTAAAGATAACATGTTTAAATTAGTAAGTATTATTAACAAATACTGATAAATAAAAGTCTGCCTCTACTAGCCTACACCAGCAACAGGAAAAATAAATTCGAACAAATATTTTAAGAGTAGAAAGGAACTTAAGCATTGTAGAATGTATATTCCTTAATTCCTACGTAAGTAATTAAAAGAGGAAAAGAAAAAATTTATGTTACCAATGTGCAACAGAAATAATAATCTGTTTTAGTCTTTTCCCCTTCCTGCATTTTCTTCCTTCTGTCCCCTTCCTCCTGCCCATGGATATTTATTAGATGCCTCCTGTGTGCCACATGCTGTGAATACAAGGGGGAACAAAATTTATGTCACTCTTTTCTTCTTGGAATTTACCTTCTGGTAGTTAACAAAGTTTGTTATATGGTATTCACTATTTTTTTGGCATACTAAGTGTCACATACATATCAAACCATGATGACCTGTTGTAGACCCACAGTTTGGATTTCCCCTCTCTCCCTGGGTCAAGTGTGACTGTGTGCAGTTCTCAGCAGCCTCCATATACAGCATCTAATGTGGCTGTATTCCCTCAGGTTCCATTGGCATGTACTGGCAGAGTGCTGAGGGCAGACTTCTGCCCAAACCTGGAGGAGCCAGACTACAGGCTGGAAGTCCAGGTTGGAGTCTTAACTGCTTTCTCAGCTGGGGGTGGTGTGACAGAAACAGTGGTCCTGGAAAGCCATTTGGGTATATTAGTGCTGTCAGGAAATGACGACCATTGAGACAGGTGTAAAGAGGGACTGGTGTAGCATATGACAGCCAAAGGTCCTTTTCAGGATGAGTTGTCTGTAACTGTAGATCATTCATTTGTTCAGTTAAGACATATATACATACTTTAGTGAGTTAAGAACATGGTCTCCGAAGGTTGACTGCCTAGAGTTGACAAAAGTTGCTGTGAGACCTTTGGCAAGTCACTTAATTTAAGTGAGTCTTAGTTTTCTATAAGATGGAGATTTACCACACAGTGCGATGATGAGAATTTAAGGAACCTAACATATATTCAGCGGTTAGTACAGGGCCTGGGACATAACAAGACCTGGTAAATATTAGCTCTCATCTTCTAACACTTTCATGATCATGTGCTAAGCACTGTGATAGGTACGTGGGGATAGATATAAGTAAGTTGTGCTCCCTACATTATGGTCTCCCAGATCAGGAGAATAGCAGCCATTCAATGGGGTGCTTTATAAGACAAGTAGGACTTAATGATAAATATCTTCTTTCTTGATGGGTTGGAAGATATGTCTTGTGGTGTAATGGAAGGATATTAGTAAAGTACATTTTTTTAGGTGAAATTGTTGGGTTGAAATTCAGTTAATTTTGTATGGTCTTGAGGTATTAGAAGTGGTTTGGCACGCCTGTAATCCCAGCACTTTGGGAGGCTGAGGAAGGTGGATCACGAGGACAAGAGATCGAGACCATCGTGGTCAACATGGTGAAACCCCGTCTCTACTAAAAATACAAAAAATTAGCTGGGCATGGTGGCGTGTGCCTGTAATCCCAGCTACTCAGGAGGCTGAGGTAGGAGAATTGCCTGAACCCAGGAGGCGGAGGTTGCGGTGAGCCGAAATCACGCCATTGCACTCCAGCCTGGGTAACAAGAACGAAACTCGGTTTCAAAAAAAAAGAAGTGGTTTGGTTTATTGCAGATTAAAAATATAAATTGACATTTTGACATTTTGGCTAAAGGCGTGTCTCCATTTCATGTACCTTATTTTATATATATATATATGTATATTGAGATGGAGTTTCACTCTTGTTACCCAGGCTGGAGTGCAATGGTGTGATCTCGGCTCACTGCAACCTCCGCCTCCTGGGTTCGAGCAATTCTCCTGCCTCAGCCTCCCGAGTAGCTGGAACTACAGGAGCACGCCACCATGTCCAGCTAATTTTTGTATTTTTAGTAGAGATGAGGTTTCACCATCTTGACCAGGATGGTCTCGATCCCTTGACCTCGTGATCCACCTGCCTCGGCCTCCCAAAGTGCTGGGATTATAGGCATGAGCCACCGCGCCCAGCCGTACCTTATAATATTTGAGGAATGTATGTGCCAATGCAAAGATGCTGAAGTTTCATCATGGATAGCATTCCCTAGCATGAGGAAACTCATACTGTTTTTTTAGAACCTGTATTTTGCATCATTTTCTAAATTTTCAGGCTCATAAGATGAGCATAGTAGCTTAGTTTTAAAACAGTTTTACTGATTTAGAACCACAAATGAGAAAAGAGAACCATTAAAAAAATGGACTTTCTACACAGTGAGAATGAGGGTGGAAGTGGTAGTAAGAGGAGGTTTCAGTTTTTATGGCACTGAAGCGTATGCCATCTCTAGCACACCTGTTCTTGGCCTAGGGAAGACCACCTGAGCTCTGCTGTTCCCCAAACTGGTACTGTCTGGGTGGTGTATGGCTGTGATACAACAGAAAAGCAGGTGGGACACATATGAGATGCGATCATGTATTTCCTAGTTCTGGAAAGCTAACAGCTTGTGTGTGACACACAAATGCAGAGTGATGGAAGACTTTTTGTGGAGAGTAGTCTGATCCTTGACCTTTTTGAGTAGGACGAGTGATGTTCTTCAAACACATCACCTGGAATGGTCTGTCATGGGTGATTGTTGGAAATCTGTTTCTGAACCTTGAGTTATGGTAAAAAGAAAAATGGGTTTTGCAGATGTGTGAAATAAAACTGGGGAAAAAAAACGTATCGAACACATTATTTTGACATACTATGGTAGAAAATGTAGCAAATGTTATATTTGCAAGTTAAAGTAACATTCTGGTTGTAGATAAACTAGATTGTGGGGTTGACAGTTTAGCAAGGACCTTGCAAAACAAAGTAATGAAAGCGATCATGTTATTGGATTTCTCAATGTGCAACACCATTTTGGTGGACTGTGTGGAAAGATGATTAACTATGGAGAGTTGGTGAAGTAGCTGGGACCCACTTGAACCATTTCTTCCTCTCCTTTTAACTATGGTTTCTGTACATTTTAGAAATACCTAGTACATACCCATATTATATCAGTCATAGTAAACTTGATGCTTAATATACTTTTTACCAGCTAACTATTTCAGGAGTATATTTTTTTAGCTTAGATTGCTTTCATTCTTGCCATGGCATGTGTCCTAGTCCTTTTTAAAGTTTTTCTGAGAGAATGAGCCATTTCTTATTTTTCAGCACAGCTTTGTACTCTAGGGAACTCACTATATGACTTGCCAGTCATCTTCTCCTTTTCCTGCTTGTATCACAGGCTTTCCCCAAGGGCAAGGCATTATCATCACTAGAGAATTTGCTGTTTGCCCTCTTGATTCTGAGAATAACCTCTCATACACCTCAATTTAGGAGCAACAGTTTGTTTATATTCTTTCTTAGAAAGGATTTTTGTTTAGACATACAGCCCTCAAATCTGGTTTACTTTTATATTTTGGCTGACATAAATTCTCATGACTGGTGGAGCCCCTTTCTGTTCTTTGCCTTCTTCCTTTTCAACCTTTGCCTTTTTTCCTAAAATTTCAGATTTCTTAGTATTATTTCTGAATAATCTCGAGATCCCCTACTTTGTTCTATGAATGTATCTTAGGTTTTGGAATGACTGTCATCCTTCAAGTCTGTGCCTGACTTGACTTTTGCAAGGCCCTCTACTGTGTTTTGTGTTAATACTGCTTGATTCAGAAAAATAACTGGAAGTCAATATTTTGATACTCTGACTTCCTTTACTTTCTTCAGTGGCTTTTGAAGTGGGTACTCCAGTTTGGGAGGTTAACTGATGAATAGTAGCAAAGAATTAAACTCTTATACAATCATCTTCTAAGAGATGACTGTTCTAATTTAGACTCTCCTTAATTGCTGATACTTTACGTTTATCAGAGAAAAGTTTCTGTTAGTTCAGTTATACCTCATCCTGTATTAAGTTGTTACATTTAGCTCAGCACAATTCTTTACTTGGTTGGGAATTCAAGATGTGGGGTTTGACTCGTATTTTTCACCACCGAAGTGCTTAGAAAATTAGAGTAAATAATGAACCGATATTTCAATACTAGATTAGACACAATTTACTGTGATGTTTTATAAACCACAGACTCCTTTCTTCTGTGAATGTGTGAAGGATCACTTTTTTTTCCAGACATACTGGGGTGCAAGTGTAAATTTCCATAAAATTTAAATGAGGTGCTTCCTGTAATTAATGAACAATTGTGGCTGCTCTCTGGTCTGCATTGTAATTAACCGTGATCAGGCTTGTTTAGTGATGACACTGTTCCTGTAATAATTTGACAAGCTACTGTGAATTTGCCAGGTTATTAAACAACATGCAGCATTCACTTCTGGAATCACAGGGATGAGCTTGGCTGCTGCTGCTAGTTAAATGCAGCATCAGGGTAAACCAAAAGCTGCTCATCGAAGTCTGTCGATCACCATGAACAGATTTAAATTCCTATGATGTTGGAGAAGTTAATTAATTTTGTATAGGGTATCTTGAAAACTTTTTATTATATGATAAACCTACTGGGGCAAAGCTGGTCATGTTTATGAACTCACAATGAAGCCAGCAAATTCTCTATATTTTTAACACCCTGTATGAACTAAACAAAATCTGAGATTGCCCTTACCACCTTTTTAAGTAGGTACAATTTTTTTTTTTTTTAAAAAAGGTTGTTTCCTTCACAGATTCATTCACAACATCTCCTCAAATTTAAGTTCACTCTCTCTTTTTCTCCTGTTCCAAACAGATGACCTTGTGCCAAACAAAGTCGTGTTGCAGGTAGAGCAATCTAAGTGGACCAGTAGCCTTATATCCTTGGTCACCAGTGCACCAACCCCCAGCCCCCTCCTTCAGGTTAAGAACTGTTCAAAACGTTACTGTCTAGTTACTGTGGTGTCTTTCATTCAGATTCTGTTTATTGACTAAACCACAAGGATTCCTGCCCAAAGTACCAGGCAGTCTATGCTTGACTGATTTTGATTTTCTAACATCAGCCCTGGGGTTTATTTGAAAAATGTACATACACTGCAGCTTTAACAAGTCAAGTGACTGCATGTTTTTGACTATGGAGTAGAGTATATCTGAAGATCATTAAATTTAGTCAGGGGAATGGAGGGGTACAGCATAAGTGTAGTAGTCATTGTACCATTGCAGATTGAGTGAGTGTGTGTGTGTGTGTTTGTGTGTGTGTGACACATGGTTTTTGTCTTTTCATCTTCTCCAAGAGCCAGAAAGTTTCCTGCAGTTCTCTTTCCAGCTATTGACAAATGATTGCCAGATGTGAGATCTTTGCAGTGCTCTTTCCCTCAGCAAACCTGCAGCGATGGGATATTTGATTCTCCCTTGCCCATTTCATCTCCTTTCCACATCTGCCAGGGACATACAAGCAATACATCCCTACATGAGAGTTTAAAGTTTATTCAGCTCCTTTTTCCCCTCTGATAAAATGTTTGGAGACAACAGAATGAGGTCCATATGACTCTCTCCTGACTTCACTGTATGAAATTAATTGTTTATTTTACTTATCTACCTCTCAGTAATTGAACGATTTCATTTTAGTTTCGGTCCATGGAAAATTTGACGTAACTCTGGGAGTGCTAAGAGTTTCCTATTGTCTGCTTGCTGCAAGTATGC